CGTACAAGCAGCGCTATCTTAGCTGAGACGTGCATTAGAGTGAGTGAGAAACTAAATAAAAAATGTGAGTCAATATTATTAGTAACTGTTCGAAGTGTGAGTTAGTAACGTCAGGCTACCGCGAAAAGGTGACAATTATGTAATGATTTAGTGTTCAATGTTATCAATCATTTCGAATCATTGGAAACGTGTTAATTGGGGGAGAGCGTTAACGTCAACACAGGAAACCTTGCACACGCGTAGGACGTTTGAAGAGCAAACCGGAACTCAAACCAGTGAATCTTGGTCTTACTGTCCTCGGAAGCAGTATGTATCATGCGTAATGAAACACTGATATACAAGAGCCTACATTTAATTATCCAATTTGAAATGCAATTGTAAAATTGAGATTCTATAATTCTGATGTCAGTTGTCATTCCGTAAAAACATAAATATATATGTCTACACGATATTATTATTTTATTAAATACATTGTACTTGTAATCATGTTGTACCATTTTCAATCACAATCATTTACACGCTGTATCTAATTGTTTTACAACAGTTTTCCTGAGGAAGCCCTAATTCGAAACGTTGAAAGGAATAAACGTCATTATTACATTATTGTTGAGATGATATTCTTTTATGCAGTTATCATAGACAAATATTACGTCCAGATTATGTTTAGTACTCAACATTAGTTACAGAGAGCACACGTGTTACATGATAGAAAGCAACACAAACAACGTTCGTATTATACCATTTCGGTAAGTCTCTTTGAGCAACGGTGTCAGCTTTCTGTCGTAAACATTTATGAGTATTTTTCAGGGCTAAGTATAGCTATATTTCTTTGGCTGAACGTGACGCTATTCTCAAAATTGTTAGTGGAATGAATAAATTAGAATAAAATAATATACAGTGTATGATTTACCTGTAAAAAGACCATGCCCAGAGCAATCGTTACTTGTGAACGTGGACTAATAAACGCAGGTCTTCTGGTTGACTTCTTGCCAGCATCGAATATTCGGAATATTCTATTGGTTTTCGTCAATAACGGACCGTATGTCAAAGTGAAGCTTAACATGAAGCCGAAACGGTTAATGTAACACGTGGTTGTGGTCGGCATGGCGAGGAAGGAATATACCAAAACATAGGACAGTATAATACCAATAAACATAATGTAACTGAGTTCCCGACTGGTTGCTTTAACGAGGGGCTTGCTGTTGTAATGCGTAAATGCTATTAGTGTGATGAAACAGAATGTCAATCCCACAGCACTGAAGGTACACAACATAATGGCCCATGGGTCTTGGTATTTGATGAATGACGGTGGTATTGCCTCACAATGTGTTCTCATCTTTTCTGGCCACATGTGCGGGAGACATTCCTGACACATCGTGGCATTGAAAACTGTTATTTCATTGCTCCTGCACAAAACGCAATCCCAACAACAGACATGTTCCCGTTGTATCACCATTTCACCAGCAGAACACGGGTCGCTGCAATATGAGGATGGTGGTAGCGTACCAGGAAATGCATCTAGCCATAGTGAAAGATTGTCTGAAAACATAAGCTTGTTGTCTCCTCCCAACGAATCCCAGATTCCAAGTTTCAACAGCTGATATGCATCACCAACCCGTTGAATGGTATGTATGTCATATTTTCCCATAAGATCACCATTGCGATCAAACATTATGGAACCCGTTGCCCCATTGAATGTTAGATTATGCAAATAGCCCACATCCATTTTGGCCTCTTTCAGGGGCGTACAAAGTTCCGAACTGTTTGGGCACATATCCCTACGCATATTCTCCCATCCAAGTGCGAATGTGTATACGGAATCTATAACTAACGAAACCGAGTTGTCTCTGGAAAACCCCGACGGTAAGTGCATTTCAGTACATTTGTCGTCACCGGAAGTGCAGTTCAAATATTTTTGCCAAAATTCTTCAAACCATGGATTGTGTTGATTGTTTTCCGGATTAAGAGACATAAAGTAATCTTCAAAGGGCTGAAAATGTGCAGAGTATAAATTTATTTTCAGCACACTTGATGCGATTACGCGATTCTCTGGTCTGATCTCTTCAATACTCGCAGCCCAGCCGTCGCTACCGATGAGTTGGAAATGATGTGTAGCGTTTGCCCTTCCAATAGCTGACAACACTCCGTTCGCTTCTTTAACATGGACGAACATAACCACTACTCGCGCTCTAGGCCAACTAAGAAGTGAGTGAACTACGTAGTCAAAGCCATTATTTGTCATGAAAGCAGATACTTCTATTGTCCCTGCAATACATATGTGAGCAATCTCCGCTTCCATTTTTAGTTCTTTCAGTCCGTTGTTGCCGTAGTTGTCATCTGAATGAACAATGGAAATAAAAGTCCAGTTGAAATGTTTCATTAAGTCAATCATTGTTTTTACCTGAAGTTTGTCAGGTGGACTTAGACGCAAAAAGAACGGAAATCTCTTCTTGTTGCTAAGATCGTCACTCGTAGCATAGTAACTGATCTGACATATTTCTGACAATCCCAGCAACTGAGCAGCAGGTATGGTCGTAAAACTCATTTCTGTGCCGATAACGACGTCAACATACGGGTGTGTTACGTTTTCATCACTACATGCACCGTTGTCCGTGACGCATTGGCAGTCTGCCGTATTCCTGAATGCCGACATTGGCATAAAACGCAATGTCTGCGCTATTGAGGTAGACTCGCGCGTACAGGTGTCATATATTTCAAAACCTATAGTCATATTTGGTAGTATGTCGTCCCTGTTATTGATCTCGTATATAGCATACACCATTGCCTCCATTCGCAGCAAAGTTCCCAGATCTCGTAATGCTCTACATTCTTTATTGTGGTCGTAGTCATGCAGGGGGAATAAACCACCGATAATTTTATCTCCACTCATAGAATACTTAATTCTACCGATGTCAGAGTATTGCCAGCAGAGACAAGGCGTTACCAGAACGAGGTGGTATAACATCAGCACTATAAAATCTGCACACAGTTCTACTTTCATGCTGCTAGATAATAACGATACACCTGAAAAATAAATTACACGAAGAGAAAATGGAAAAGTGTTCAATTGTGTGTAATTATATTATGATATATACTCCTTACGTACGTCTTGAAATCCGGTTTCGTGGTTGTCAGTTTCACATGTACGCATTTGTTATTGTGATATGTTTCACTCTGCCATATTATTACATGTCGATTGATCTGAAGCATAGGATAATGTAATTCCTTTTTAACACAGACATTGTGATTTCAAGACTTACCATTTAATCGATTAAACTCACAGATTGTGTTGCGTTTCGACCATTCAAATTGTCAATAGCTCTGTCAAATGGCGCCGTTCAGTGTTAAAAACCTTTATAAAGCGTCTTAATAACAGCTGGTTCGTTTACCATATTTTAGCGTATGACCGACAGGTACTAGAGATTACATGACTACTTATACTCGGTAGGCTGGGTATATACGATTTCGTTGATTAGTTGGCGACAGTGATCTGTGACATGGTAAATATTATAGTAGGACTATGATTAATATGCTATATAGCATGATGTACTCTGCAAGAAAATTAATATCTTCAAAAGAATAATACTATTAATATACTGTAGTAATCGTTTTAATTGCTGTTTGTGTATGTATGTATGTATGTATGTATGTATGTGTGTGTGTGTGTGTGGGGGGGGGGGGTCGATCAGTGGTTACATTATAATGCTCGTAACGGTATGACGTTCTCATGTGCCAAAAAAAGGGCGTTAACACGCGTGTCCATACTTTTACGGTTAAAGACAAACTGTCTTTGGTCGTGTAATCCACACAAGTTTTAGTAGAGTAATGCAATATTTGCCCTCAGGATGATAGTGTTATGCTTCGGTTAATCCCACAAACTGAAAGCTCTATCTACCCATGAGGCTCCACTGCCAACTGTTCCCCATTTTAACAATGCATATAAAGTCTACGTTCTATACTTTGTAAACACATTGTCATATAAGCATGATACACAATACACGTGACATGCTTCGTAACCGATGCGTGGTTCATTCAAAGTTACAATCCCATCTTGAAAGATCACCCAGGTACAACAGAGTGGGTTCGCCAAAATATCAGACTTGTTGCACTGCATACCATATGCATACATGATATGCTATACAATTACTAATACATATTAACAATTGTAACATTTCATGAAATATCGAGAGTGTGCGTGCATTCATTCTGATACAGCTTAAACACGACGCGGAATTGCTATCCAAGTTACATAGTTTAAGAATATAGTAGAGGTTTTCAGGTAGAACAATCCACACTAATTATTTTCATAGAAGAATTATTTCATACCATATCGAGCTATTTATTTTATTATTGCTTATAACTATTAATTAACAATCGATGTTACGTTAGTTGTAACCTTTACTTGGTCATGTGACTGCTATCCGTTATTGAAGAAGTTAACACATTTTTCTTGGAGAATTAAACATAAGAACGGCGAGTTTGCATAACTTGTTTTTCTTCTTTTAAATGTATTTTTGCATTTTACCAGACCATTTTGTTCGTCTTTACATTCAGATAGTGAAAAACTTCAGAACTTGTAAATTTAACAGAAATTACTGATCATGTATTGTTCATATAGGAATCTAATGATTCTCATTTGATCATGTTGATATCAAAACACATGAAAATCTACATGAATTTGCATATAGTTGCTGCATTGATTTTTTAAATGGTCTTAAAGCGGGAGGGTCGTCGCCTGCGCACGCGCGGGAATTGAGTTCCAAGCGACCATAACAATACACGCTAAAAACGCAAAAACTCATGGGTAGACGCTTGTTTGTAAACAATGACACGCTATGGCCATCTGAATCATGAGAAGGTGACGACTTCCCCGCTTTAAAATGTTCTGTGACCAATGTTAAGTAAAATGTAAATGATTGGCAAGCACCTACTAGTAAATATGTTCTAAAATATGTCGATATTTTCTAATTCATTAATTATGTAAAAAATACTTGTAAATAAGCACAATTAAGCATGCAACAATGCAGTTTGTTAATTTTGTTCACTGTTTTAAATATATTATATTTATTATATAGCTCTGAAATTTCATAGACTAATAATGTATACGTATATTCATTTAAAGTCGATATATGAAGATTATTTGGATGGTTTTCCTGAGTACCAGGAAGATTAATTTAACCTATTTATGAATTGATACATATATTAAG